ATGTATCAGTTTCAGAAAAATGGCCATTTTCTCTTTTCCTTTTTTGTTTTTTGGTACTGGGGATCAAACTTAGGACCTTTTACTTGTGAGACAGGCAGCAGAACCACTGAGCTAAATTCCCTGTCCAAAATGGTCATTTTGACATTATTAGTTCTGCCTATCAAGGAACAGGGGTTATAGTTCCATTTTTTATATCTCATTGAATCTCCTTTTTCAAAGTACTGTAGGACTTTTTTTCTTTCTTCCTTTTTTTTTGTTGCTTTGTTTTGTTTTGTTTTTGTAGAGGACTTTCACTGTCTTGATTAGGTTCATTCATTAGCACAGTATTTTAATTTGATGCTGCTGTGAATGTTATTGTTTTCCTTATTTCTATGTCACTGAGTCAATTATTAGTGTACAGCAATGCTATTAATTTTTCTGTGTTTATTTTGATTGTTGCTACAGAGGTAATGTTCATCTATAATTTTTTTTCAGGTTTTTTCATGAACAGATGTTGGAATTTTACAAATGCTTTTTCGGCATATATTGATATGATTTTGTAATTTTTCCTTGCTTCTGTTAATGTGCTGTATTAAATTTACTGATTTGTGGCAGCATAAATCATTGTGTATAAACACCACATTTTCCTTATCCATTCATCTGTTTCCAAGATTATGCTATTATAAACTGTGCTGCTATTAACACAGGTATGAAGTGTTCTTATAATTTGATGATTCTCTTTGTCATTCTTATGGCTGCCAACTGCACAAAGCTGTGTTGTATCCTTTGCCCTAGACTCTCTAGAGCAGCAAAACACAGGACCAGTCCAAGCACTATAAAACCATAGGTGCTCAGGTCTGCTCACAACCCAAGATTATTGCAACCAGCCACAGGTGCTCTTGATCTGAACTGAAGTTCACATCCTAGACTGTGAGTCATGCCTGTGATGAGAGGTGCCTCAGATTCCACTCACAGGGAATCCTGGGGGTGAAGCCTACTAAGATCTGCCCAGTGCTGGTTTCACATCAAGTTCCAAGGCAAAGTCCTTCAATAACTATCTCAATCTACCTTCAGCTTTGTGGAGTCCTGTACCCTTCTGTGATGCCCAACATTGGTGTGGTGCTGGTGAAGGCAGTCTCTGGTCATCACAGCAATGCTGAGATGGTTGCTGCCTTATTTGCCAACCACAGAGATGTACAAAGTCTCAGAGGCCCTCCAAGGACCATACCCAAGGTGACAGTGATGTAGGCCCAAATCCAAACCTCCCACTGAGGTACAGGTCTCCACAGAGTGCCAGGACCTTTATGTGGACACTTGTCTGGGAAAGCTGCATGGCACAGTGCTAGGTGACTGGTGATGAAGTCAGGCTCTGGAGCACCAGCTCTGAGGCTGAGTCAGAGCTAATCCTCACTGCCTTGGCCACCCTGGGTGGGGGCGTGGCCTCAGCTCACTCTATGCCTAGCAGTGATTGGGGCCAGATTCCTCTCCAGGCTCTGGCTGGGCACAGGGTTCTGTGTTCTTTCTCCTGATGATTCTCAGCACAGGGCTGGGTTTTGCTTCCCATCCACTGAATGAGTTCAGGGGAGAGGCAGTAGAGACATCCCTTTGCAGCATGAATAGCAGTTCCAGGGGCTCAGTCTGCAAATAAAGTCCTGTGAGTAGGACACACAGGGCTCTTCCCAGAACTGGTGTTCACAGTGCTAGGCTTGGTGCTGGATTTCAAGTCTGTCCAAGACTCAACTCCCTCTTTCTCTTCCTTTCATTACTTGGAGACACCACTTTCCTTGGAGCACTGCTTAGGGTTGTGGGAAAAGTAATGCAGAGACCACTCTCCCCTTCCTGCCTCCTCCAGCTTTCTCTTTCTTACACTGAAGCTGGCCCTGGGGTGTGTGACTTGGTCTCCCAGCTCCTGTCAAGTGCGCTCCTGTCTGAATTGTGGTCACAACTGGTGTGACCCGGAAGTTCATCACTGGACAGCTTCCTCATCTGCATTCTTGCTTTTCCATGCTTAGTTTTGAGATATAGTTTAATTATCTCAGGGGATTTTATTAACCTCAAATGCTTTGATATTTTATTATTAAAAAACTGCATTTCCTGTATTAAATAATATGGGATCTCACAATGCACAATTCAGAGGAATAAAATTAACTTTAGATATTTGCATAAGTCTCTGTTTATCTTCATCAGAAAAATTTAATACTTTATGCAAATTGAAACTTAGTTCACTCTTTTTCTTTTCATACTAATTTGATCTGAAGGAGTGATCTCCTTTTATAATAGATAAGCCCTTGCTAGAACTTGTCATTCATATGGAAATTGCCATTGGTAATGCATTTATTTACTAATCAGGTATGGTATCATTCTGCTTTCTCTTGTGTTTGTGATTATTTACTTTGCACAGTCTTTAAATTCCTATTGCTATGTTCATCAATCATTATTTTCAGTTGTTTTTAAACATCTTTTCCCTTCTGATTCATAATCATGCACACACACACACACACGCACATGCACACATGCACACGTTGGGGCAGTTCTTGTTTGCAACTCTTGTGGACCCATAGATAATGTTTATCCATGATCAGGATTAAATATTGACATTCAAAGAGAGTACAATGTGAATAGTGGTCAATAAAGCCTTACAATGAAGAGCAGAGATGTGCTATTGTGCTAGGAATATGTGGTGGAAAGACATGCCCTGGATATATACTTAATACTATCGATGTTCAAAACAATCTTTTGATTAATATGGAGATTTCTGTTGGAATTAAAAATAGTGTCACCCTTTGTAGAGGAAAATGAGTAAAAGCAATTAATGGAAATGAAGGATAGAAGGGAAAAAAAGAGAACACTATTAGTTTTGGAAAGTTCTATTTTAATATTAGTTTAGTCAAAGATGTCCTTAATGCTTTTTAATTTAAAATTTGTTCATATCTAGTGAGATTTATTTAGTGCTTTCAATTTTAGGTACTTAAATTGCATTACAGTTGTGAATATTATATCAAAAATAAATTCCTGACTTTAACCTAACATGGTATATTACTGTTGGACATGCTGCTTTATTCATTTGTTACACTTTCATTTACATGATGCCTTTCTCTGGCTTTGACATCATGCAAGTGCTCCTCAGAAAGTTGCAAAAATATCCTTTTGTTTAGATTTTTAAAAGGATTCAGAGATAACTGTAACTCTTTATTCCCTAAACATTTAGTAAACTTCATATATAAAGCCACTTGAATGTGATTTTTGGGGGGAGGGTCAAGTTATTTTGAATACAAATTTCTGTTTGACATTTTATTTATCATGATTTTTCTCCAATGCATTTCCCAGTCTTTGTGTAATTGAAAATTATAATACATTACTGCTTATGATAGTAATGCAAAATCACCAACTGCTAACTTGTAGACATTCAGAATGTCCCTGTTTTCTTGTATTTTTCTTATTCAAATTGCATTGAAGAATCTGAGTCGCTATTGTATAAAATGTGAAATTATAGTGGCAGAAATTGTTTTAGTAAATAAAATTAAAAGCTAGTTCTTGGTTTTTAAAATTGTTGTTATATAGAGAAATGTATACCTTTGGAAATAACTTATCCCTGTAATAATAAAAGATAATGAAATGAAAGAAAAAATAAGTGTTATGTGTTAAAAAGTATGAAATGTTACCACATTGTCTTTTGGTTTTGATTATTGAGAGACTATCAAGATTTCCACCAAGATTTATTTCAAAAATGGGATGTTAGATTGTTTATTCATTATATTTTTATTCAGGTATTAGAAATTCTTAACTTTCTCTACTTTAAAAGGTATAATTATTTGCTGATGTTAACTTGGTGAAACATTTAAAATAATTTACCAAACATATCATCTAAAATTAAATATAAACGTGCTCACAAGAACAAAATAATATTAAAATTTCAGTTTACCTTTGACATATGCTTACTAGAAATTGACAATATGTTCTTATCGATACATATGAATAAACAGGCAACAATTAGGTATGTAATGGTGACACAGTAAATATTAAATAAATGGTATAAATGCTGTGGAAGTGTTTGTCTCCACATGAGAAAAACAGACTTTTATTAATTTAACTAATTATTTCTATTCATATTTCATTGACTACACAGATATTTTATTAAATTTTGTATCAATCTTCCCATGATGCAAGAAAATTACACAAATATTAATATGAAAAATAATGAAGATATGTAAGAAATTTTAGAGTTTTCCTGAAGTATTTTCAGAAATTCTATGGACATTGACACATACCACACTACACTAATTATCAATATGGCATGGTTCAAATCTTAAGATTATCCATGGGCTTCTAACAAGCAGACTATCAAATTGATTCAAAGAATGAATCCTAAGAATAGAATACTTTTATATAACATATAAGAAAAGTCAGCCACAAAAAAGGAAAACTAGAAAGTTACTTCTTTGCAGATTAGACATTTTATATATGAATAAAAACAGATTATGACATATAACTTTAAATTATTCTGTGAGTGGTGGAAAAGTAATCATCCATTAGAACAGCAGACAATAAGATATAAATTAGGATGGAAATTAGGAAGTCAAATCAGAAAAGAAAGGAAAGAATGCCTTACAGTAAGAAGTATATCTTAATTAGTGTACACACACATGCACTCATACACACACACACTGGCAAGTTTATTATAATGGTTGAGGATATGCTAAAGAATCATTTAGCTTCTCATTTGTATCTACTGTTTGCCCTCACTCACATGAAAATATGCTTTCTGCTTCATGATCTTAAGGTCTATAGTCTCTAATTCAATTCTAGTTTACTATAAAGTCTATTCAGTCACTGTTTAAAATTTTTCTCTTCTCTTCAAGGAAGGCAAATACTTAGCAGCTTTTTCAAGGCCTTGTTTTTAGCTTATGGAAGGCTCATGTTTAAATATGTGCTCAGAGTGCTTGTGCTTGCCATACATTCTGAAGGAAAACAGCAGGTTCTCATCCAAATCTGATGTATAGAACTCCCACTGTATTCAGCCTTTAAGAACAGATATTGCATATCTTTCTCAAGGTCCTTTGAAGGGCATATTTTACATCTTTGTTCCTCAAACTGTAGATAACAGGATTCAACAATGGGATGATCAAAGTATAAAACATGGAAGACATTTTGTCAGTGTCACTGGAGTGACTGGACTTGGGCTGTACATACATAAATATAAGCGTCCCATAGAACATGGTGACCACAGTCAGGTGGGACCCACAGGTGGACAAAGCCTTGCACCTGCTCTCTGCAGACTTCATCCTGAGAATGGCTATCAGAATGAGCAGATAGGACACGAGAACCATCAGAAGAGAGGAAATCAAATCAAATGCTGCAAAGGCCATAATTATCCATTCAATTTCATGAGTATTTGAACACAGCAAAGATAACAAGGGAATGCAGTCACAGTAGAAATGACTGATGACATTGTGGCCACAGAATGACAAAGTGAAAAGCTTTGTGGTGACTACAAGTGACATAAATGTGCAGTAGAGATAGGGTATTCCCACCAGCACCCAACATACCTTTTGTGACATCATGACAGTGTAGAGGAGAGGGTTACAGATGGCCATGTAGCGGTCATAAGACATGGCAGACAGAATGAAAAGCTCACTACCAATAAACAGAAGAAATAAAGCCAGCTGGGCAGCACAACAATAATAAGAGATTGTATTTGGATGCACAAGAAAATTTTCCAACATTTTGGGTCCCACAGCTGTGGAATAGCCAAGATCTGTGAGAGCCAGGTGTCTGAGGAAAAAGTACATGGGAGTTTGCAGACTGGAGTCCACCTGGGTGAGGATGATCATCCCCAGGTTGCCCAGCACTGAGATGGCATAGATGATGAGGAACAGTGCAAACAGTGGAGCCTGTAGGTCAGAGCGATCTGTGATGCCCAGCAGAGTAAATTCAGTCAGTTCTGTGAGGTTGTGCCCCTCCATCCAAGATGATTAGAAGACCTATGTTTGTAGGAACATTATCATAGGGGAAAAATGGAAATATTATCACCTGGAGGACTCTTATTATGCAAAACTAGGTAAATGAGTTACATTCAAACTTTCCAATATTAAATATTTCCAAATAAAACTATACTATCTTCTCAATTTTTAAAATAAACTATGTATTAATACATATAAATAGAAAGCAGAACATTACTGTTTCTCAGTGCATGTGATTATATTCACAAAAGTATCTTATTAACTGTTAAGCCATACATTGGTTATCTTAGGAAGTAAAGAGGTACTGGCATTAGTCAACATCTTACTATACCCACTATGTATTCCAAACAATACCCTTATCCATAAATTTTTAAAAGGTTGAAAAGACCTCATACTTAGACAGCCATATAACTAGCCATAGAATGTTTACTTTGCAGAAACAATTTATCTCAAATTCTATACTCATACACAAAAACATATCCTTGCAATTTTGATTGAAAGAATAATTAAGTGATTCAAAGTGTTCAAGCTTTCTGGAAATAGTTCTCATAAATAAAGTACATTTGCATATTTTTGTTTTTCAATTGTTAATGACAGTCCTCTTGAAATAATTTTTCTTTACATATATGCAGTATATACTTAACTATTTAAGGATGTTTATATTTCTACCTCTGCACGCCCCCAATCCATGAGTATTGTTAGATAATCGATGTACTATTGGTTTTCAATACTTATCTTCTATTTCTAAGTACTCTAATGACATTTCAATATAAGTTGCTTTTACATAAATTTCCTGGAAATATTCTTCCCTTCTGAGTATTCTTTTATTTACTTAAATTCTTTTATTGGAACATTTTAGGTATACATTACGTTTACATTTATCATTAGGTGTTTGTACCTGTACATGATGTATCTTGATTAGGAGAAAGAGAGCTCATTAGCACTGGTTTTAGAAAATGAAGATTCATAAAATTTTCTTGGATGAAAGATGCTATTATTTAAACAAAATAATGTTGACATCTTGTAAAATATTTTATAAACATACATTGTGTAAAATCAGAAGTATTCTATAAGATATCATAGAGATAACAGTATAGTAAAGGCTATATATTCCTAGATTCTTGGGTGTATTTTGGAATCCTCTGTGTGTTATGTCACAAGGACTTCTTCCAAATATGACATCACACATTATGCAGACAAGTATGTGTGAGCCAGATGAAATCCACCCAAGTTTCTTATAACCTAAGGATTTAAATACAGCATAGTAGAAGATGAATACAGGACCTTAATGTAAGTTCATTATTATTGATATAAAAACTTGTGAGCACCAATTTTCCTTTTTTAAAAAAGAAAGAAATAGAAATGACACACTTTTGAGTGAGAGGTTCCATGGTGGCCAGCTGTACTTGAGCTACAAGTAAACAAAGATTTCATACAATTCACATTATGCATCAAATCAATCACAGGTCATTTGTATGAAACTGGCATATACTGTTACTTATGTGGTTGTGGCTATTCAATCTCCTACTATGCTCTTTCAGACTCACTCTGATATTAAATACAAATGTAGAACAAATTATTACATTTGAAAAATACCTTCAGTAAGCACAATAAGAAACAGTTTAAATCCTTTTTGTTGTTGGTTTGGCTTGGTTTGGTTTAGATTCTAATTATAAAATATTACAAAATAACATACATAACTAAGTACAAATATCAATGTAATGTAGAGGAAAAGATGGTTCTTCTCCAGTTTCAGAGATTAATGGAAATTGCCTTTCACAACTAATTATAATTGAATAATCATGTTTAATTTCAAACTTATAGTCTGAGAAAAATTTAGTCAGATGTCAGTGCAAAAGGAAGATCCTACCATTTTTTTAAATGTATCATGAGATAGTTACTCTAAAAACTGCTTCCTATATCTGAATATAAAGGATCAATTCTTTTTCCCTGGAAAGAGATAAAATGGATCTAATTCTAACATTTATTTGGATAATCTTAGATGTTCAAATACTTTAGGGAGTCAAAAGGAGTCCAGAGCCACTGAATACCTAAGGACTTGGAAGATGATCAAATATAGAGAGTGAATCACTGCTGTCTCAGGATCTGCTTTAAAACTTCTGCATTCTTTCATTTACATTTTATATCCTCTGACTTTTACCATCTGTTAGATATAACATTATACGCATACAAGATTAAAAACTTTCTAAGCACACATATAATGTATGTTTCCAAGATAATATTTCCCTCAAACTCTCAGGAGATTTTTTCAAATAGTGACATGAAAAACAGTGAAGTGCTATTGATTTGGAAGCATTATGAAATTGTAGAAAGCACAGAAGTTGAGTCACAAATGGTCACTTATTCCAAATGGCAAGGTCGTTGAAAATTGGGACTATTTCTTCAGATCTTGATAACTTATGGCACCCCATGAAATAGTATATCTTTGTTACCTGTAATGAAATTACTATCTTGAGTCTATGTGTTTCTTCACATCTGGTATTTGAGGACAACTGATGGATACTTTTTAACTTTAGAGACTCCCTCTTGGGAGAGGCAAAACTATTGCAGGATTATCCCTAAAGCATTTGAAAGCACAATCAAATGCCTGCAGGTGTCTACTAATTGCCAAGGACATTTTACAATCAAATTTGATTTTATTTATTTATAATAGGATCCAGCAAGTCATGTCTGGATTTTAACTAAAAGTATTAGTATTTGAATAATCTCAAAGAGGTATTACTATTATTCCCATATTCACTGGCCCATAAATAGAAATACCCAAGATGTAGAAACAACCTAAGTATGTATTACTTATGAATGAAAAAACATAATGTAACTTACATAAGCAATGGAATATTACCCTTAAAAATAGCATCCTATAATATGAAATAACATGAATGAACCAGAATAACATTATCCTAAGTGAAATAAAATAATCAAAGGTCAAATGATGCAATGATTCTACACATGAGATAATTACTATATTTCATAGAAGGTGTGAAGCTGGTGGCAACAGCCAAGGTTTTTAAGAAATGAAGAACTGCTAAGCCAGGAGCTCTGACATGTGGCTGTAATCCCAGGACTTTGGAAGACTGAGGCCAGAGAATTCAAGTGTGAGACCAGAACTCAGTAAATGAGTGGAGGCAGCCAGTGCTGGGGATGTGGCTCAAGGATAAAGGATTGGATTTGATCCCCAGAACTTCAAAGGAAAACAACACACACACAGACACACACATACACACACACACACACACACACAGAGCAAAACAGAAAAAAATGCTTAAAAATACACAATGTCTCAATCACATAATGTGAGTTCCAGAGATTTGCTGCCAAACATCATGCTTAGAGTTAACAGTACTGTGTCATACATTTTAAATATTGAGAATATAGGATTTATATTAAGCATAATGAATAAATTTTAAAAAACAACAATATAATCCCCCAAAGTCCTTCAATCACTAAGAATCTAGTAATTCAAAGGATCCAGGAAAAAATAGCTGCTTTTCCTGTGACTCCACTACAGGAACTGTCCAGAGGAGAAAAGTACACAGGAAGGGAGAAGAGGTTGCCAGGCAGGGCAAGGAGGGGGAGAAGTTACTTCACAGGTAATTTGAGGTCATAGAAATGTTTTGGACCATCTATTCATTTAACTGTGAATATTAAATTTTGACAGATAACAATGACAAGCTATTCTTGTTCTCAATTCCAATGATTTAGAACCTATCATTCATAACAAGAAGCCTTCTGATTCAAATTTAAAAATGATTCAAATATAGAATAAGAGTATTCTATTTTGTCACAAACACAAAGATTTAAAACCACTTCTGAGGCATTTCTACATAGTAAGAATCCAGCCTGCACTTTTTAGTGATGGAATATTAAACTAAGAAGTCCTTGTAGAGGTCACAGTGTGGACAAAATTCCACATGATGGAAGTGTTTGCATAGACACAGGAAACAAACCTAGGCCCTTCCACACAGTTGTTAAACATCTTGCTTTCTGGACTCATGATAAGAACATAGTGGATTTTCTTTTTTATAAGTATCATGAAAGATATTAGAATATAAGAATAGTACCCCATGTCTCAGATTTTATAAGTGAAATTTGGCTCAATTAGAAAGTGTCATTTATTCAGGTGTTTTTTCATACAGTAAGTGTTGTATGTGTGGAAAAAAACCTTGAATTCAAACCCTAGTTCTTCCGCCTCCCAACTCTATGGCCTTGGAGGAGTCATTCAACTTTAATAAGCATATTATTTTTCTATTAAAAAAAATACCTTTAATCATCAGCCTAGAGGGCTGGTTTTTAGGATCAAAAATCATGATTGTAAAGCATCTACTACAAGGCCTAGCAAATAGTAGGTGTTGAATAAATTATAAGAGCTACTTTTATATTACACATTTCTATTACTAAGGATAGGATCTTAGTGTAATATGATTTATATTGTCTTGTTTCCTTCCATGATGTTTTTTATGGTCATTTTTCATGGATTGGGTGATCCCAGGCCAAAGTGTTCTTTTCATCACTTTGATTTCATAAAATGTGATTTCTTTTCTGAACCCCTCTTTACATTACTAGACTTAACCAAAAGCACTACAGACCATGAAATTGTAATTCAGCTCCTTCATCTTTCCCCATACTTCCTTAAATTTTTATAGAATTTATAAA